ACAGCACATTTCGTGACTCACGCCGACGGTTGTGACTTTCGGGCGTGTCTCCTCCTGCTCTCGCATATCTCCTCCTCTTCCGCCCACCTCCTACCTACTTTCTGTTATACATTATTGTGGGGGCAGTGGGAGGAGGACGAGACAGAGCAGGAGGTCTCTGGACCCTTTGGGGTCCTCGTGGTGCCTCTTGGGGCACCCTTGGGGCTCTTTTGGGGGGTCTTGGGGCCCTCTTGGGGCTCTTTGGGGGGGTCTGGGAGGTCTCTTGGGACCATCTTGGAGGCCACGGCTCAAAAAGGAGCGTGACGTCAATCACGCCCCTCCCCTTCCGGAGGACCCCGAGACGTCGCCTCTTGTGGGCCCTCTTGAGCCGCTCTTGGGGCGCTCTTGGGCGCTCTTGGGCCCGTCTTGGGCTTCTCTGGAGCCTGTCTTGGGGCTCTCTTGGGCCATCATGGGGCCATCTTGAAGCCTCAAGAGCCCATTGAAAGCGGAAATGCGAGAAGGCAAACACACATCGATTTTCTGCAGGTTTTTGCAGGATTTGGGCCTCTCGGGGGCGTCATTGGGAGGCGCTGTGGCCACTTGGGGCCGTCTTTGGGCGGTCTTGGAGTCGTGTGGGCTTGTTGGGAGCTATCTTGAGTCATCGACAGTTATCTTGAGCGATCTTGGAGGTCATCTTGAGCTCTGTTGGGCTGTCTTGGCGCCATCTTCGGCCAAAATAGAGGCTCCAACCACCCGCGCCCCCCCTCCCTCCAGCCCAAGGGGGAGGGGGTAGGGGGAGGGGTCAAGCTACCCACCCGCCCGCAAGCCGTTTAGCCCCCTCCCACCCGCCCTCCCAACACAGAAGTAACACCCGAGCCTGAGCATGTTCAGCGGTCGTCTTCGGATGGACAGCTGCTGGGAACCAAAGCCGCCCCCCAGGGCGCGACGCTCGGGCGAGGTGCGCCACGCGTGCCAGGGGGCGCCGCGCGCGCCAGGCACCCCTGGGGCCCGAGCGTGCCAGGCACGCCCGGTGCGCCAGATGCGCCACGTGCCCCGGGTGCGCCAGGTGTGCCGCGCACTCCAGTTGGGAACCCCCAAACCGGGTGGTGAGATACCAGGTGGTGACCTGGAACCCCCAAAAAGGTCACCGCTGGGTTTGGGGACGCGGGGTCACCACCGGGTTTTGTGACTCCTGGACCCCACCAGTGTCCGGGACATCCTCGGAAAACCGCACGAGTCCCCAAACCGGGTGGTGACACCAAATCGCCCGAGACTCACCGCCAGGTGTTGTCACCACCACGTTTGGGGACTACCAATGTCCAGCCGCGCCAGGTGCGCCATGTTCGGGGCACGTGCCGAGTGCGTCAGGTGCGCCTGCTTACTTGACAGCACACATCGGGAACCATGTTGGCCCCCCGCCATCCTGGTCGAAAGCCAGTGCCCATCATTGTGTCTGGTGGGCCTGCGCACCGCAGGCCACGCGCCACCACCCCCGCCGTCCTTGTCAAAAACCATGTGACAGTGATCGCGGGATGGCCGCGCATGACCCAGATTTAGCCGCGAGGTGCATGTTGTATTCCCCTTGCATTGAAGGGGTCCTAGCGGAAGTTGAAAGATTTGGCGAAAGTTTCTCGCCGATTTTGGTAGCAGGCTGTGTTACCGGGTTCCCGGTTCCGGGTTCCCGGATTCCCGGTTATTGGTTCCGGGCCGATTTCGGTGGGTTCTGGGTTCCCAGGCTCCCGGGTTCCCGGTCGATCTCGCCAGCGAAAACCATCCCTTGATTGGGGTTGTTCTCTGGTGTAATGTTTTTTTTTGTTTTTTTGTTTTGCAAGGGATGGTCGCCCTGCGCACGGCAGGGAATATGCTGGCACTTCCGCCGTCCCTGTCAAAAACAATACAAAGTGTTCGCGGGCCTCACGAAAATGACTCAAGACTTTGCCCCAAACTGTACTTTGCATGGTTTTTTGACAAGGATGGTGGAGGGGGCCCGCATCGGTTTGGCCGCGCATGCTCCAAATATGGAGGCACAGTTCGGTTTGTATTGTTTTTTGACCAGGATGGTGGGGGGCGGGCCCTCATGATGTCGGCATGGTTCCTGGTGGGACGCTGGCTGGGTGGGGGAAGGGGGTGTATATTATTCAGGATCAGTGAAAAACCCTTCCCCGAAGGGGAGGAGGGGGGTGGAGCAGAACGGGCTCTCTAAACCACCTCTGCCCAGAGGGCTTGTGGGATTAGCATTCTTAGCCGCGCAGTGGGATGGACCTGGGATGGGTTATGGTACGGGGCGGATCTACGGCATGCTGAGAGATTTGTCAGAGAGTCAGGCCTTGATCAATACGGCGTGATATGTGATCTGCCAGGTGGAAAGCAGCCCGACGAAGAAGATGATGGGGCCCCTACCAAGCCATGATGTTACGAAATGCCAAGCTTTACTGGCCAAGGTAGACCACCTAGCACAGGTCCGATCGGATATGCAGTTCTCGTTCAAGGAGTTTGCGCTTTCCATGTCAGCCCCAGCCTGAAGGGCATGGGAGAGAATTGCAAAACTGGGCAAGTACATCAAAAACCACGACAGGTGTGTGTCAGGGTTTGTAACAAGAGCGCCCTGAAGAGTTAATCGTGCGGGTTGCCACCGATGATGCCGGATGCAAGAAAGCGCGTAAGTCAACGAGGGGGGAACATCAATGTGGGAATCGCATGTGATAAAGTCGTGGAATCCTCCTCGTGGCATTATCTTCCGGGGAAACAGAGTTTTGCGGAATGGTGAAAGGCTCAGCAGCGGTAGGATTGTATGATAGAGTTCGACGCTGATGATGGCATTCCGTAAAAGAGTGATGCCAGTGCAGCCAGTGTCATTGCGAGCCGGCGAGGGCTAGGATAGTGCATATACATCGAGGTTAGGCAGACTTGGTTACAAGAGGAAATGCGACGAAGACACATCTGGGTGATCAATGAGGAGTTCATGATAATCTTGCTTGTGCTTTGGCTAAAAATGTGGGCAGGGAGAGCATGTCAATGCATATGCGAGGTACCAATCAACATGATGTTGACGGAAGACGCGGGCTTGCGCCTGCTACGGAGTTTAGCTTAATCCATGTCCAGGTAATAATTTCGCACCGCTTTGCCAGCGGCTTGAGCTCAGGATTCCATGATATCCGTATGTTCACGCGAGTAAAACTTACATTCTAGAAACTGTGTATCATGTCGCGTACCTCGGTGCTGTGCGACATCTGAAGAGTAGTGCAGCGCGTGTTAAGAGGCCCCCTCACGACTGCGCTCAAATCGTAGTAGCCCTGTGCTTGCGCCAGTTATGCTTTCAATTGCTTCGTGATAGAATTTGATATGCTAGAAAGGATTCCGCTTTGTTTCGCTGTCCACTTGTTTCACATTCGTCCGTCATCCAGTCGTTTTTTTGTTTTGGGGGGGTCGTTCTTTTCTCTCCCTACCCCTACCCGCATTCGGTTTATCAGCCGAGGGGATGTGTGTTCGATTTTTGCATTCCGACTGGGTGAGCAGGTGCAAGGTTGCAGCGTCGCATACAGAAGTTCGGTATTTGTGTCAGACAGTCGGGTGTTCACACAGTATTTGCTCTCTATTGTTTGGCTCAAGTTCTGTTTGCTTCTTGGCGAACAAAAGGATTCTATTATATTTTCACGAGGGGCTCCATTGGTTGGATCAGTTTTGGGTCAGTATGGGGGCTAGTTTTTGGTCATGGCCGATTGGTTGCTGAAAGAGGGCCAGGCTACGATAGGTTCGCGCCGTGTCGATGCTGCGGCGATTCTGGCGCGGGCGTTCAAGGGTGAACGCCGCCAGATTTGGAAACCTCGAACGTTCAATGTTGAATTTCCCACAGCGGCGTGGGACTAATTTCAGCAACGTGTGTCTGACGCCCTGAGAGGTTGCGTGAGGCCGCGACATATGCGTTTTTGATCCAGCTCCCCCCAACCTTCAGGCGTGGCGCCGAGCCTGGGCATCGCTGCCTCGACCAAGCGAACAGGAGATTCGCAGAAGGCACGCACACACCGTCATGCAGACATGGCCAGTCACGCTGGTTTGTGCACGTATGCTTTCCGTAAGAGGAAAGCGGGCCCAGACGTCCGACGTTGTCATTTTTAGACGGGGAGACGCTTGGAGGTTTCGACCACTTCCCAGGGGCTCGCTCTTCTCCCCGAGTAGTTTTCTTATTGTTTTTGGGCTTGGCAAGGGCGCCCGGGGGCCGACAAAGGTTTCACGCAGTTTTTTTTTTTTTTTTTTTTTTGTTTGTTTGTTTTTTTTCCTCCCCCAGCGACGCAAGGATGTCCGGGGAGGAGTGGAGGCCAGGCGGAGGAGGAGCGCCCTCGAGGTGTCGATCGTGGACCCCTTGATGAGCGTAGCCATCGAGCTCGGGCGCCGAAGACCGTCGGAAACCGCCCCAGACCGCGGGAAGCAGCAGAACAAACAGCCAGAAACCGCCAAGGGCCGACTGGTAACAAGGGGCTCCTGGTCGAACGCAGCTGCGTCGGGGCTGGAAGCAGGCCAACTTAGCTTGGGAGGGGCACCCTCGTGTTCTTCGCGTGTGGGCTTGGCTCCGTGGAGCTCTGGCCCCTCGGCGAAGGGGTCCGTGCCTGTGATCCACGTCTTTGGTGGCCACCTTTTCGAGTAGGCGATCGACTACAGAATTGATTTACCCGAAAATTGATTTTCCCCATCGGATCTACGACGAGTACGTAGAACTTTCGCAAGTCAACGGAGGATTCTCAGTAGCTTCCGCAGATTCGACGAGAAAGCTTATTTTGGGGTGAATCGGCGGTGGACGGACCTCCTACCCTGACACGTCGATTAAGGAATTGGCCGTTTTTGGTTCGCGAGAAGGCGTCGCGGCCGTCATTTTTGCGGGTCCAGGTCCGTCGGTTTCGGCCCCAAGCCGTTTTCACTCAGGGGAGGTCTACTAAAGGGAGGCTTGTCCACCGCTGAGTGAATCCATTATGTAGTCGTTCCCCTACTCGACCTCTCGAAGTGCACGCGCTCTCTCGTTCGGCCAG